CTGGCTCTTTCTGTCTCTCAGGAGCAGCTGAAGCAGTGTGTCAGCAGGGCACCGGAGGAGGGCAAGGACACAGACACTCTAGTGCCAGAGACAGACAGTCAGTACGGGACCTGGGACACCGGCCTGCGAACCGAGGACAGGTGAGCTCCTACCACTCGTCTCCTGAGACTCCAGAGAGCCCAAGAGCACACCAGGAGACATCCTTTCTCATTTTAACATTATTTCAGGGAAGTAGTTCTAAACCAGATGGAGCTCTTATAGGGATAAACTCATTTCCGTGAAAAAGGGTGAGGTTTGACTTCCCTGCTGTGCAGGTGTGTGGCCACTACCTAACCTGGACTGAGGGGCAGTGCTGCCCTCTGGTGTCCAGGGGCTGGAACAGCGCCTGCCGGGGACCCGAGTGCAGTGAAGCCCAGAGCTCAGAGTCCTAGCCTGTCTCTGTTTTTCCTCTTGTAGGATTGTTGAAGTCAGGCTGCCAGAGCACAGCAGTCTGGTTTGTCTCCGTGTTTTACTGGGCACTGTCAGAAACTTGTTTAATGGTCTGTTTCAATTCTCTTTTCACAGCCTCACCCCCGCCTCCCCCACAGCTGAAAGCAGCCTGAGCGCATCACTGCGGAGACACACACCGTCCTCCCCCCTTGACCTCGCAACCCCCAGCGACCCTGACGTCACTGACGGCCTCTCTCTGTCCCTCAGCACCCCAGGCGAGCAGGAAGAGCTCTCGTTCCCCGAGGTCAGTCTCTCTCTCGCCTCTGTCCGTCCTCCCACTGCTGCCTCCTGTCCTGCCTCACTGTTGCTCTCGCCCCTGGTCTTCCTCAGCCGGCCGCCTCTCTCCTGGACTGCAGCGCCATGAAGGCTCGCGCCCAGCTCAGCAGGAAGAGCCGCCGCTCCCTGCCCTCGCGCCCAGCACGCCGCTGTCCCCTGCCAGCTGGGGCAGAGCGCCTGGGCCCGCTGCCCGAGGACTGGCTCTACAGGGACTCCACAGGTATGAGGAAGAATAATCCCCTTCTCTAGCGCTCTTCTGGGCTCTCCACTGACAGCTCTTTACAGTAATGGGGGAATCCCACTACCGCCACCAGTGTGCAGCCCCACCTGGGTGATGCGCCAGCCGAAATAAACGCGTTTTTTCAAACCTTGGAATCTCAATGTGACTGCTAGGCTCAGAAGAGCTCACTGACTCAGCTCTTAACCCCAGTGTGCAGAAGTGGTCAAAACGTGTTTTTCAGCAGAAATAAACATGTTTCTGCAACTTTGGTCACCCCCATGTATCTTATAGGGCAGGAACAACACACTTTTCTGCTCCCCACACACCGGCTCTCAGTGGGGAGGAGAGCAGAGTGATGAAGCCAGTTCAGAGATGGGGATTATTAGGAGGCCATGACTGGTAAAGGCCAGGGGGAAATGGGGCCAGGGTAGGTAGGTAACACCCCTACTCTTTTTGAGAAACACCCTGGGATTTTAAATGACCACAGAGAGTCAGGACCTCGGTTTTTTGTCTCATCCGAAGGACGGCGCCTGTTTACAGTATAGTGTCCCCGCCACTATACTGGGGTGTTAGGACCCACACAGAACGCAGGGTGAGCACCCCCTGCTGGCAACAGCCTTAGCTTTCCCAGGAGTCTCCATCCAGGTACTGATGACACTGCTAAGCTTCAGTGGGCTGCTGGTGGTGAGTTTCAGTATGATATGGCTGCTGGCTATATCAGCTAGGTGGCGCTGCTCTGTAAGACGTCTATGTCTCACGGTAACTGCTCCCCCATCACACTTCCACCTCAGAGCACAAGCCGGACCCCCCACAGGAGGACTCGGACACGGAGGACCCAGTGAACACAGCCCGGCGCGTGGAGCGCTCTCCTGCCCCCCAGCCCCAGAGGGTCCCCCTCTTTCCTGGGATGGACCCCTCCGCCCTTAAGGTTAGGCTCCGCCTGGGTACCGCAGTACGCCTCGCCCCCTGAGCCTCGCTCACCTCTGCGCCTCTGCCCCTCAGGCCCAGCTGAGGAAGAGGACGGACTCGGATAGCCAGGCCGACACCCCCTCCCCGACCCAGCTCTCCCGCTCTCCAAAGTCGCCCTTCGTTCCCGGAACCAGAGTGCGGCCCCCTTCAGGCAGGAAGGAAAACGGGTATGACCCAGGGAGAGTGCGTTTGTGTCCGTGTCCATCTGCTTGTTGTCCTGGTTTGGGTCCGGTCAGAACCCGGGTCCTGCATGTGACTGATGTCCAGTCTCCCTGCAGGTCAGAGGAGTCGTCCCCCCAGTGGCTGAAGGAGCTGAAGTCAAAGAAGCGGCTCAGTCAGTACGACAATGACGCCTAGCGGGTGAGTGGCCCTGCATCCAACAGAGCCTGCCTCCTCTTTCTCACCCTCTTCACCTGCCTCCTCTGCCTCTCCTTTCTCCTCTATCTCACCCTCTTCACCTGCCTCTCCTGTGTCCCCTGCCTCCTCTTTCTCACCCTCTTCCCCTGCCTCTCCTGTCTCCTCTATCTCAACCTCTTCACCTGCCTCTCCTGTCTCCTCTTTCTCACCCTCTTCCCCTGCCTCTCCTGCCTCCCCCACCCCCTGTCTCTTCTGCCTTACCTCAGCTCGGCTCCGATTCAGTATGAGCCTTGAGCCCTGCAGGCCGGAAGCGAACCTTGACAGGCTCAGCAGCACGAGTCAGCGTTCTGTCAGCAGCTCATGGATGAGTCAGCGCCTTCACCAGTTCTCGATGAAGCCTTTTCTTCAAAGGACTTGTATTAATCACGCCAGAAAAATGACCCCATTTAAACTGATACCTCCACAACAGGATTTCAGCACTTTGTGGATTTCATAAATGTCATGCGGACAGCTGCCTGGGTGGTGTTCGTGGATGGCAAGAGGAGCCTGTGGCTTAATTAACGCCAATTATTTTCAGTTTTATTGAATTTGTCTTGCAGGTGGCCTTAAAGTGGAGCGCAGGAGGAAGAAGCCTTAACTTTTGGACCTGGATATGACCTGTGCGTTCTGCTGCTGCTGATGCGACTCTTCACTTCCTGCCTGGGTCGCGAAGTGCATGGTGCCTTTTTGGAGAAAAAATCTATATATATATATTTTTGTGTTCAAACAGGCTGAAAAACTTGCTGCTGCTTATTGTTCTTACAGGCAGTTGTTAGAGAGATTTTAACAAAGAGCCACTTTAGCCTCAGACACCTCAAGGAGGGAGAGCAAGCAGAAGATGAGCTCACAGGGGAACCAATTCTTTCCTGCCCTTGTTGCACATCAGGAAGGGTTAAACTGCCGGATCAAGGAGCTCTGAGCTTAAAAGTGCTTCTCTTAAGGTAGAAGGAAATAAAAGCAACTCAGAAGACCAGCGAAGAAAATGGATGTAGTTTTTTTATCATTATCATTTTAAAATTTTATAGATCAGTTTTGGAAGGGGATCATATTGTATCTTTTTTTAGTGTTTTTTATCATTGCGTCCTTCAGGTCCTGAGCCTCGTGTTGCCATAGAATGGGGACAGAACTAATCTCTTCTTTTTTCTTTTTACAAGTCATAAATCTTAGAAAGAACAAAACAGTGTTGAAAGAACAAATACATAGCTATATATGATCTATATCGACAGTAATAACGACAGTAATGATTATAAGACAGGTAAAGGCTCTGATTTTCCTACAGTACCTGCCTCCTGCTAAGAGAGGAGCACTGCCTGTGTTGCCCACTGCTTTTAGGGGCACCCCTGCTCAATGGGAGTCATTCGCTCCTAAACTCAAAGCAGAGTTCCCACACTTCCTGAAAAAGCAAGAGAAAACAATTCCCTAACGGTGCAATTCCCGGGACAGGCCGTCTTCATCCATCTGACTAATTTGGTTTGGTCAAAATAAGAACAATGTCAACTGAGTGTTTTAATTGTTTTCCCACTCCTGAATCAAGTCTCATTAAGAAAATTAATGAAAGGTCACTCGAGTCATCTCGAGCTCCAGGAGCGGTTGTTCTGTCATCTGGCGAGTTGTTCTGCTCTGTCCCAGAGGAAGTGTGGGAATCCTGGGAGAAAGCACAGATCTAGAAGGCATCGTTCGAAGACTCGTGTCTGTACGAGCTGAGCTGCAGGTCTGAGCGAGAGAGCTGACACATGAGCAGGGGACTGCGCTGCAGGCCACGGGGCAGGGAGGATCTGCAGGGCCAATGAAAATATAAGAATTGAAATAAGCTTTCACTCTGAATTCGAACAAACATAACAGCAATAATCTGGTGATATTTTGTCTCTCTGTGCACAGAGACTTTGCATAAACATGTTTTTCCTTTTGTAAGTGCTGTTGGTGGTGAGGCGGGGCAGGGAGACAAGGAGGTGTGTTCCTCAATTTGTCCAGACAGGCAACAATGTTCAGAAATAACAGTTCTCTTTGTGCAAAGGTTCCCAGGCTGACTGTGGGAACTACTTTTTCACTGTGATCAGTAGTTAATGTGTTCAGTGAACATCATGGAAGAAGGCCTCACAGTCCGCGTGTGACCACACTGCTTTTCACGGCAGAGGCTCTCTGTGCTGGGAGCTACTGAGTCTGTCTTTGGCTCAAAGCAAGTCTCTGAGCCCAGGCTCTGCAGTGATCCAGGCACTGGCTCTGCTGCCTCTGCATGTGTACAGCCCTTCTCTTACATCACAGGTCTGCCGCCAATCAGGTGGTGCTTCTCTCTGTAGCCCTGCCCTCCTCCTTAGTGGCTCTTTGAAACCCCGCCTCCCAGCAGGTGACTGTGGGTCGATGTTGGAATCATGATCAAATTGAATCTGATTGTAATTTTTATTTTTTAGTTTCCTTTGACAGTGTATTTTAACACATTTATTCAAGAAACTGATTTATTTTTTATTTCTCTGTGTTCTGATGTTAGGGTTCTATTAACTATCTTGGGGTCGATCTTTCTCTTTTCTGTAAACTGCAGTCCTGTTTTGCACTCTGGGTCTGTGCCAGTGGTGTCAGAATGTGGGCGTGTTAATAAAGTGGATATCGGACACCCCGACTATGCATCTCTGACACCGAAAGCCAGGAGAGAGAGTGTGAGGCAAGTGGAGAGGAGCAGTGTGAGACGGGTGGAGAGTGAGAGGAGCAGTGTGAGACGGGTGGAGAGTGAGAGGAGCAGTGTGAGACGGGTGGAGAGTGAGAGGAGCAGTGTGAGA